ATGTCCATAAGGCAAGACCCCGAAACGTCTCCCTTTGCCCAGACCCTCCGCTGTGTCCTCACCTGCTCTGAAGAGAGCCCCCGAGGCGTAGTGCATCGCCAGGGCGTGGATGAGCTGCCGGGCCGTGGTGAAGACGGGGCCTCTTTCAAACTCCGAGAAGGAGAGCGGAGTGTGGTCGGAGGCTATGTACAGCTTGAGGGAGGCGTGGATGCTGACCAGGAGGCTCACGGGCAGGATGACCAGTTTCCGCAGCTTCACGGGGTTCACCAGGGCCCTGGCGTGCTGTCTCACCTGTATGGGCAGAACCTGTGCGCCACCTGGGGACAGGGTGGGGGGACCGGCCAGGCTGCTGTGAGGAAGGTAGGTGTCAAACAAAGTTCTGATGTAGTATACAAACGTGTCTTCCACGTACAGCCGGGCAGGCTTCAGCTCAAAGCTGAGCTCGTGAATGTCACACAGGCAGCTCTCGCCCTCAGTGAAGGTGAGGCCCAGGCGGATGAAACTTTTCCTCCTGCATTCCTCCAAGTCGCCGCTGGACACGAGGAGGCTCTGCGTGCTGGGGCCCTGAGCGGGCTCTGGCTTCTCTCCCTGGCAGACCAGGACGGCGAAGTGGAAGTTGGACTTGTGGTACAGCTGGTTGTCCAGCTGCAGGTCCCCACAGCAGACCTCCACACAGTACAGCTGGGAGGGCGCCGCGCTGGGCTCTTCCCCCAGGAGGGGACCAGCCGCCGGGGCCATTTGGAGGAAGACATTGTCCAGCGTGAGTCTCAGCAGTTCGGAGGAGGCCGTGTGGTGGGTGAGGTCATCGAACACGGCCAGGCTCAACCGAGTGACGAACATCTTCAACGCCACAGCCCTCGCCCGAGTTCTGGAGGAGAGAAGGAAAGAAGAGTGGCTCCCCTGCTTCCTTCCTTTTGTGTGTGTGTGAACGGCAGTGCCTTAGTCTACACCTGCTGAGGTCCCCTCGGGTCCTCACAAGGAAGTGAGAACTCGCCGTGCAGTGCATTGTGCCTGGACAGAGCCCGTCACACTCCGACCATCTGGGGAATGTTCCCAACGGACTGCCAGTCCCTGTCATGTTCCTCCACGGGTTTCCCTTATCAACACCAGACTTTTACTCCACTGTCCTCTCGTCTTTGTGCCCGAATCCTCTGTTACAATCATCGCAAGGCAGAAAGACGTAGCAAAATAACCAAGACTCCTGAGCTTGAACAAGGAGAGAATGCGGAAGAAAACTGACCGCGAACTGCCCCACCGCAAACTGCTCCAGCATCTCCGCCAGCGCTGCTTCCCGCCACTTCTACGGCTCACGGGCGAGTCACTCCCCCCCTCAAGGTCATCACCACGAGCAGCTTAGAAGCTGTTATTTCTCCTGTCTTAACAAATCCCTCTTGTAGCTCCATTACCTCCTCCAGCTACCACTCATTTTTCTGATCCTTCTACCAAAAGACTCCAAAGAGTTTTTTATATACATCATCTTCTATTCTCCTTCCATTTTCCCTTAACCTTGATCCACGCAGGCTTCTGCCCCCCAACAGTCTACCAAAGCAACTCTCCTCAAGGTCACCAGTGACTTCGCCTGGCTACATCTAATGGTGGACTTCAGTGTGCGGCTCACTCAACTACTGTGGCCTTTGATGGCAATAACTCCCTCCAGCTGGGAATAATTTCTTTACATGTCTTCTCTGTCCTACCTCTGGACATCCATCCCCGTTACCTATGTGGCTCCCTCTTAAAGTTCAGGTGCCCAACGCTCAGCCCTTGGTCCTCCACCTCCACTCACTCCCCTTGGAAATACTGTCCAGCCACATGGCTTGACGAGTCATCTATATACTGATGACTTCCAAAGGCACACAGTTAGCCTAGGACCCCTCCGAACTCCAATCTTACATACATAACTGCCTGTCCACAGAGTCATTATATGTCCAAATGACGCTCAACTTGTCATATCCGTAATCAAACTCTTGATCTGACCCCAAATCTACATACAGTCTTTTCCATCTCAGTTAATGGCAACTACGTTCTACCAGTTACTTAGACCAAAAAGTGTGGATTCCTTCTTGATGCCTCTATTTTTCTCCCTTATCCAATGCATCAGGGAAATCCCATGGGCTTGTCCTCAAAAGGCTATCCAGAAACTGGCCACTTCTTATCTCTCTCTGGTGTGAATAACTGTCATGATCTCCTAACTAGTCTTCCTGTTTCCACCCTCGCTTTTATACCATCCACTTCAACAAAGCAGCCAACAAGCATCTAAAATTTTAGATCAGATCATGGAACTTCTCTACTCAAAATGCTCCAAGACTTCCCTGTTTCACTCAGAATGAAAACTGAGCCCCACGTGTCCCTCCTTCCAGCCTTTACTCTCGGACCTCCGGCACTGCACCCCCACGTTCACCCCTCCATCTGGCCCGCATGGGCTCCCCCTGCTTCGCCAGACTGTGCCCTCTGTCTGGACAGCTCTACCTCCAGAAAACCACATCACTAACCCTCTGGCTGCTTTTAGGTCTTTGCTCCAATGTCAACATCTTGGAGAGACTTACACCGTTTTCAAAAACTACCCTCTGTCCTTCTTACTGGGCTCTGTTTTTATATCTGCAGAATGCCGACCTTCTTTACCTTCTATTATAATGAAATAAATTGAGATTTATGACCACCATAAAATTTCCTTTTCCATTATGTTTACCCTTTGTCTTCCCATTCCATGCCTATGAGAATGATTCCTCAAGAGCAGGGATTTTGGTCTCTTTACTCACTGATGTACCACTTCCTCTAGAATAGCACCTGTATCCAATAAGTATTTGAAAAGTAAGCGTCGAATAAATGAGTTACGAAGTGCAAGTAAGTACGGGTGCCTTTCCTGTTTTCACCACTGGACGCATGGATTGTGGCTCTTGTCATTAACAATGCCCTCCTAATGCTTAGATAAATGTTCATGAAATTCTGGGGTAGACTTAAAATTTTGTACTATGCAATTTAAAATGTAGTCTCTGAATTTTAGTCTCTTAATTAATTTCTTACAAATACTTCTGGGCCAAGAAAACATTCTACTTAACTTTGTTTGAAATATTATAACTTCAAATTAATGATAATTTGGCAGGGTACAAATTAATGAGTTCCTATCCATATATGAAAAGTGAGAAAAATTTTTAAAAAGAACCTAAACAAATGTATCAAAGTTGGTATCATTTAAGAGTTCATAAAATCAATAATTTTTCTGATTATAAATTTTTACTGTAGAAAATGAAAATATAGAAACTTATTAAATAATCACTTTTAACCCCACACCTATTAACACTGCTGATTCTTTTCAGGCTTCTTTTTAGGAATGTTTCTCTTGTGTGTGTATGTGTGTGAGACAGAGTGGATGTGTGTGCATGCACATTTACTCATGTAGAATATGTGTACATATGACAAATAGCTAGGGCCCTATTTATATACTCAACTTTATACTGTTTTTTCCATTTTAGGTTTATCATGTGCATCTTCCTATTACACTATAATCCTCTACGCCTATTTTCTGTGGATATACCACTCGTGGTACATTTATGTGTTATCTATTCCTCTACTGATAGCTGTTGTTCTCTGAATATTTTGCCATTATAATTGGCAATGTGATAAATACCTCTCTGCATATATCTTTGCCAACTTCTCTAATTATTGCTTTAAGTCTTAAAATTGGAATTTCTAAGCCAAAGGGATTTTAAAGCTCCAAATATGTATTTCTAAAGTGCTTTCCAGAAAATGGTAACAATGTACACTTCAACTAGGACCATATATGATGGAACATATTGTTATTTGATAAGAAATATATTATTTAAATATGCATTTCTTTAATTACTTGTAGTTCCTCTTCCTAGAATTTTCTGTTCATGTCTTTTGCCCTTCTTTTATTTTTGGAAGAAGAGGCTACCTTCATGGTAAGCCCACTGAATTATATGAGTTCTTTTAATTTAAGGATATTAACTCTTGGATTCATGTTTGTAAAACCTGATGGTGACATTCAGGTTGAAGGGGGAAAATGTGGTTCTAAGAGGTGAATTTACTTTTGATGCAGCTCTAATTGCTAAGTTCAGTTATTAATTACTAGGTTGTCATGTGGATACAGAGGATACAGAAGTATTAATTAGCATTTCATGCTAGTGATAACATACAATTTTAAGAAGTGTGCTTTAGTTTGTAAATGTTTGTTAATATCACAGAAGAACTGGAAGGGGCATCCAGGTAAGACAACAGATTGCTCCCTATTATAAATATGACTTAATGCTAATAACCCAATAATTAATCACAAGCTTCAATGTATACATAGGGATGACCAAGAATGGTAAGTGATAGGTTTACAGCTTTAGAGTGGGAAAGCTTATTGTCCTGCTGTTGAGATAATGATTAAACCTACTTGTTGGTATTGGTTACAATAGGTCCTGCTTTTCCTTCTGGGGCCAGAGTGATGAAGATGGAGCCACATTGATGGACAATGTCCACGTACACATAGCCAAAGCCAGTCAGGAACACAACCTGCAGGAAGAATATTCAATATCTGATGAAAAAGGAACAAGACACACCACTGAAATGACCGACTCTCAATGTCTCAAGTTCTGATTCAATTCCACAAACACTTCCTGGTTCTCTTTCTGTATATCCATATCCAGCTGACTGCAAGGAAGAAAAGAGAGAAAGACCAAATCAAGATTTTTCAATATCCAGCTGTAAGGTTCATGGGAAACACATGATGGATGACGGGGCATGAGTGTCTTCCTTCCCTGCTTCTTTGGAACAGGCAAATAACCCGGCGAGGGCTGGAGCCCAGCCACCGGCCAGCTGTATGTGTACATACGAATTCCTGTGGAAAAACCCCTCTAACGCTCCGAGCTTCACATGCAATGTGCAAAAAGTTTCAGGCTCTTGAGTGTTGATCTCCTACCACAAGGATGCTCTTCTATGCTGGGGATAAAACAAAACCTACCCACAAAGGCCTGTCATCATCCTTCCAAGGCCCTCACATAACTTGTCACAAGAACATCAGATAACGTCATGTGAGTAGAGTCAAAATTAATTTTCCTACAGTGAGAAGGTGGACTCAGACTTAAAAAAGTTCTAGCTCAGAAGCCAGGTGCCAGGCCAGCAGAACAGATGTCCTTTCAGCCATAAATAGTGATGTTGCTTAAATGGATAAATATTTGAAAACAGAACAGAACTATTTGAAAAACAACTCCAAGAACACCATGTTCACAGCCAGCATTACCTGCGGGTGGGAACAAGAACCTCCTGATGCTTGGAATGTTGATTATTAGGGTTAGGACAGCAAGTAAAAGACTGACAATTCCTGGACGAAGGAACAAAGCCAGGTGCCCACGTGAGATGCAATGAATGTCTTTTCATTTTGACCCAACGAAGAGCTACCAGGAGTGTACACAGAACCACAGGAGTGAGTCACAGACTCAGATTTGAAAGCAACCTCAAGGTCACTGAGCTTTTTTCCTGCACAAATGGCTCTTTCTCGCGGCCGTCCCCAGCATCTAGGGCACCTAATGTCTCTGCCTCCTCCCTCTCCTCACCCCTGCAGCCCAGCAGTCATCAGGGCCTCTATGCTGCTGCCTGCTAACCTAGGACCCTTTTTCATTCCACACCATTGCTCCAGCTTAGGCTCTTGTCTGACACTCAGCCCTAGAATATGCTCTGACACTGTTCCTAGAATACGCTTTCCCCACAAAGTCCTTTCAATCCCTATGTACTTTTGCACATACAGCTTAAGGACACTTTCTTCCATTCCCTAAGTTTTCTAGTCCCTTCCTCAGCTTGATACCATACCTACACCTGCATTCCCACAGTACTTTGACCATATTTCTATTCAATCACAAATAGTAGTTTGCCTTACAGTCATCTGTTTATATACCTGACTTACTAGTAGTCATGAGACTGTCCACTCCTGGGGGCAGGAGTAGAGTCAATTTGTATTCTCTACGGACTGGACGTGCTTCCCAAATGGATTGCTTCACAAAAATGTCTGTTTCAAAAGACTCCTGTATCCTGAATTTGACCGCTGTGTTCCAAGGTCAGAACTGAACTTGACTGTGATAAAATCTAGAATGTAGCAACTTAAAAAATGGCCCAGCTCACGTAAAAGAGGCATTCTTTGAGAAACACAGTATAAAAGCCATTATTTTATATGACATGTAAAGTAAGCCAACTGCCTCTCTGGCCTTGCAGGTGTGAGGTTGTTCTCTTAGCACACTCCCCTCTCTCCATCACTGCCCTTGACTTTGGTGCGCCCCCAGGGTTTTACCACACAACGAACAACCAGAATTACTACCCCACAAAGGGAAGGAGGGGACCAGAAGAGGGAAATATATTGTTCTGTTCATTATCAAAGTGATCTTCATGAATTATGACAGGAGGACACTTGTTTGTTCTAAGTAGTAAAAATAAGGCAAGTTGAGGGTTCTGCTCACTGCCCAAGGGCTTTGAAAGTAAGCAAATTAACCCAAACCTTTAAGGCGCTTCTTTCTCTTCTGCAAAGAAAGTTGTGCTGGGTGTCCCTTTCACTCCATTAGAACGGGAGAAGTACTGACGTGAGTTCTTGGAGCCCACCCCGCCTTTTTCCCCGAGTGGAGAGACAGCGCACGCGCAGTGTCTTTTGTACAGTGGCAGCTCCAGGGATTAGGGAGTTGGGTAACTAAGAGCCAGAGAAACTAGGCACCTGTAATCGGGTCCTCCAGAGGCTGAAAACAAATCCTGGTTTTGGTCTGATGGTTAGATCACCCAGTCATTCAGTTAATTTTCAACACTTCAAGAGGCCTCACAATGAGCCAGCCACTGTACTAGGCATCAAGAAGATACAATCACGCCCTCAAGTTGCTCACAGCCAAGGCTGTGAAAAGCCAAGTGCACAAAAGTGAGACAATGCACGGCTAACAGTTTCAGGGCAGAGAACTAGAAAATGCTCCTCCCTCTCAGTTTATTAACCATCATGGTTGCTGTCTACACTCCTGAGGGCAATGGTTTTGTGTCCATTTCTTCGGTCCTTATAACCAAGAGCCTGGGACTCAGTAAAGATCTGAGTGGACGTTATCTCAATGCGGCTCCTGTGGTGGAGACTTCTGTCCACCCTTGTCTGCTGCCCTCTCCTTCCTGGCACGAGCAGGATTCTATTCCTTACCCCGTGCAATTAGGTATGACTAATTTTGGTCAATGAATTGACATGGGTTGCTTCTGAGGCAAAGCATAAAAGAGCCAGCCTTCCCCCCACTGCAGTCTACTGTGTTCTCAATAAACTACTACTGCTCTGTAAATTTATGAACCTAGAGTAAAAGAGGCTGTGATTATTTGAGACTCAAAACAAGCTGCAATACTGGCCCAGACAGAGCTCTGAGGGTAGATGCAAGGACTGGAGGAATAATGGGAAGAGCGCTCTTCCAAGAGCAGAAATGGGCTCAAAGACTAAGCTTTGCTTCCAGGGTGCGATCCACAATACGTGCTCTCAAAATTCCAGACTTGTGATGGACGAGAGGCTCTCATCCCTCCTCTTTCCAATTTGGAGGGACCATGCCTGTTATCCTGTCCTGTACAAGGGGGAAGAGGCAGCAGATAGTTCATAGGTCTCCAGAAGGGAATTACACCCAGACTACGGGAGCCTCATGAGAAGACTGGGTTTCCACTAGGATGTGACTGGTTAGCATCCTGGGGAGATTTGCTTGTTCTGTGGGTGGAAAAATGAATTACTAAATGGGGATTGTTTTTAGTTGTTTGGTATTTATTGCTCAAGGAGCTAATGGGTCCTGATCAATGCTGTCACTTAGTTATGTTTTACTTTTCTCACTTCACACCGTAGCATGGGGGCGGGTGTGTGTGTGTGTGTGTGTGTGTGTGGAAGGCTATAGGAAGGGAGGTGCTGTTCTCAGTGCAGAACATTCGGGGGCTACTCTGCTGCCATTTGTACCTGTTAGAGCACTCTATCAGTGACTTTCTCTTTCATGTGGGTCAGTGGTTAGAGTGTCAGCCCGCACACTGAAGGGTTGTGGGTTCAATTCCTGGTGAAGGGCATGTATCTGGGTTGCAGGTTTAGGGCTTGTATGGGAGGCAACCTATTGATGTGTCTCTCTCACATCGACATCTCTCTCTCCCCCCCCCCCCCACTCTCTCTAAAAAGCAATGGGAAAAGTAGAAACACTTTAATATAATTTGTGCTTTTCTATATATTATCTTCATTAAAATGATTATTTATTATACTTATATCCAACATATAATATTTTTAAATATTACACAGTTTTAATTGTATTGAACAAATAAGTTACAAGGTGATACATAGGAAATCATTGAAAATATTCTTGAAAATCTTCCTGTCTTTCCCTCTTTCTCTTCCCCCTTATAGGCAATGTGTGACAACCCAGAGATAATCAGAGGCGCCTTCAGCACCCAGCACTGCAGCCGGTTAAACCAGGCCTCTCAGAAGGAGATGGCTGGTGGGTATTGGACACAGATCCGGAGCTTCACAAAGGTGTGGAGGCCAGAGATGGTTACTGGCAGTGCCTGGGTGATAGTAGCTAAAGCTATGAGACGAATTAGATTCCCAGAGAGAAAAAGGAGGGAGATGCATTTCTAAGATGATCAAGGTGGAAAAGGATGGAAAGAAAACAGCAGAGGCTCGAAACAACAGTGGTTACGTAACCTTCTCGAGATTCTGAGGACTCTCGTGAGTCATGACATCCTTGTAACCAGATAAGAAATATCTTGGATAGTTCGAGAAGTGCCTTTGCATGCATCTTCTCATTTAAGAGATGTGGGCGGCGACGGTGAGTTTGGGGTGCTGGCGGCTGGCTGAACCCACGCACCAGGGAAGGGTCTAGACTAGAGTTTCACTGCAGCGCGTAGACCTTGCCCTCGTCCTGCTCCACACTTTTACTAATGACGACAACGGACGCGTAGAACGCATGCTTACCACATCTACAGACGAAGGACAGCTACCACGGATACTTAATATGCTGGATGGCAGCCTCACATATTTTTTTAAAGTGATTTCAACAAACTGGACTGGGCCAATAGCAACAAGATTTAATTGATTGGGGAGAAATGTACAGTCCCGCCACTGGGTTAAAATCAACTGTACAGCGAGTTACATGATAAAAACCTGGGGAATGTGGTCGACCACAAGCTCAATAATAACAAAGAGTCTGAGCTCGTTAATGAAAAGCGAACTCAGTCTCTACTTTCCTCATGGAGGCATGGGGAGGCAGTGGCCGGTTAGACCACATTTGGAATACGGTGTGCCATCCGGCTGCCAGGTTTTAAAGGGGAACCTAACACACCAGTGTGCTCAGAGCAGGGCAACTGTGGGGATGGGTCTGGGAGTCACATGACTGGAGGAATGAGTCAAGGAACCAGAAAGGTGTGGCCTGGAGGGGAGGAGGCTTAGAGAAGTGTCCAGGCTGCCTCCCATGCCTTAGTGTCGCTCTTAAAAGGGAAGTAAATAACTGGATGCTCCAGAGGGCAAAACAAGGCTGCGTGCACGGATGCTACCA